TTATCCAGTGGGAATGGACGTTCACATTGCCTTTAAGTATGTGTTACGTCTACTTCCTTAGTTTAACTTTAAACCATTCTGGTTGGTTGGGAACCCTCATCCCGTGTGATGTATCCGCTTTGAGACCCCTCTGATTGGCCACTGTAAATGCCACTCCTCATCTCTCTCAACAGCGCTCTTATTATTGTTGTGAGACTCCCGCAGGCATGGCGAACAGAGCGAAGCGATCCAAGGTCTGGGTGCACTTTAAAAAAATGTAGTGGCGATAGTGCAAGGTGCAATCTATGTACTCAATTAGTTGCTTGTAAAGGGGGTAACACAAGCAACTTAATTAAGCATTTGCAAACGAGACACTCATTGAATCTAAAACGGTGCTAGCGATACTGCTAGTGCTAATAGTGCTAGCGGGCTTCAGCCGCGCTTCGTGTGTAAATGTGACCTGAGCGAAGGCTCGCAGGCAGGTTAGCTGCTGCGCATGGGGGATTTTATGTTTTGTTTACCTGGGTGCAGTCTTGCAGGCACATCGCCTTGTCTTTTTTTAGTTTATTAACACCAAATTATTGAAAAGTATCGATAAGAGTATCGAAAAATACCGATACCGATAAGCAGTACCGGTATCGATAAAATCCTAACGATACCCATCCCTAGTTAACAATGACTGGTACATGTGGAGCACAGCACTTCTGATTGGTGTGGATGACTGACACACAAGAAGAACACAACAAAGAAAAAAAAGAAATCGCAGGCTTTGCGATTTGATAATTGCATCATTTCAAATCGCGATTTCTATGTATTTATTTATTGTGTTGTTAACTTATGACACACATAATGTCAAGGTCATTGGAGATGATGTGAGAATGTGGGAGGACACAAAATACAAAATCTGAGCTGCTCATGTCAAGTTTCCAGAAAGAGCAAACCCTGCAAATCATGGTCAGACCTGCTTTCTTAATAACATTGTTTAGCCTCATTTAGTGATATTAAATATTTGTTTTGTTATGTTTAGTACTGTTACATGTATGCAATGACAAATGGTCAGTTCTCATGAATCTCTCAAAAACCAAGAACATAGATTTTTAGATTATTTGTCATAGGTCGTAAAAATGTTCTATAATACATTTATAAATCTAATAAGCTTGCAAATGAAAAATGTCAAAATGTCGATAAATTCTCTCATTGTACATTTGCAATAATTAATTCAGTCACAGTGTAGAATTAAAAAAATCGAGCAAAACCAAATGCCAGTATAAACAAATGTAACTTTGCATAACATAAAACTTGCTGCTATGTTGCCGGTCATGTTTATTTCCAATTATTTAAACAAAGTAAAACCTACCAACAATGCTTTAGGCTCAGGGTCATGCTATCAAATCAACATTCACAGTTGTGACGTGTAATGCACCGCTTGAATGCGACATTACTTATCCAGCAAACACTTTCATAATATAACTAATACAAAATAGTAATTGGAAAGTATACTCTTCATAGCATGTCGAAAAAAGATAAGGGTAAAGCATGTCCCTTTTAAAGTAAAGGACGATAAAAACCATAATGTGAGAAAAATATTTGGACTTTTCTCAAATTTGAAAATGAAATAACTTTAATAATTCTCCATTTTATTCAGGCAGTATTTGTGATCAATTTGGCTTGAATTGAAAGTGTTTAATGTTTCAATATTTTAGTTTGAACATTAAAAACAAAAAGAAGAAATCATTAGGGCTGTCCGTTGATTTAAAATATGTAATCGCGATTAATCGCACATTTTTTATCTGTTCTAAATGTACCTTAGAGGAATATTTTTCAATTTTGTAATACTCTTATCAACATATGAGTGTACAAATATGCTTTATGCAAATATTTGTTTATTATCATTTGAACAATGACTAATAATATTCTCCTGAATATTTTCAATAAAAACAACCTGGAACCTCTCTCTCCCTTACACTCTCTCCCAACCCTGTCTACTTCTCTGCTCAAACAGACAAGCCTGTTTACAGTTGTCGGCGAAATGAAACTCCTCTGTCTTCATAACAGTCAAAGCATGAGACTGAAGTTCCCAAAGGGGTCAAAACAATGTGCTGTGATGTGCAGTCGACACGTTGGATGCGATCCAAATTATCTAAGTCAGCCCCTCGTCCTCCACAATGTTAAACTGTAGCCACCTGTTGTTGTCCAGGCGTCTCCCCGGCAAACTTTCAAGCGTGGTCTGCCGCAAGCGAGCGGGGGCTCGTCAGCATCAGCTGTGTGCTTGGCTTGCTGTTTAAAAAACACCTTTTTTTGTATCCATATCTCTCGCTAGAATCTCCCACCATCCAACTAACAACAACGTCAAGCCTTTGGGCTCTGAAACTACGGGAAACTACAAATACACATGCGTTCATCGCACGTTAAAATAATTAGTGGCGTTAAAAAATGTTAGTTGACAGCCCTAGAAATAATGCATCTTCAAAACCAAAAAGCAGCAGAGACATGGTAAACACTTAAAATAAGAAAATAATAAGAAGCCTGTGACATTTTAAATATATTGAAGATACACACCTCGTCCGCTCCCCCACAGTTGGCTTTCCTCTTCCTCCCGGGCTGCGGGGGGATGAGTCGTCTGGCGGTCCCGTTCTGTCGATATGATACAAAGATAAGTGGGGAATTAGCCAAGAAAAAAATAATACAAAAATGTCCACAAGATACAAGATTCTAAGGTTGTATTGTCATATGCACATTAGCTACAGTGTAGATCTGTAGAAATGGCAATGAGATTCTTCTTACCCGAGCTCATCCAACATATATTATAAAATGCAAAAATACAAATAGAAAATTGTGCAAGAAGTCAATATACATTAGGGCTGCACGATATATCGTGTTGTGACGATAATCGCGTTATGCGCATGCGCGATATTCACATCGCAGGACGTGCGATTTTTTTTTTGGACGTGCGATATTAAGTAGACTAAAGGCTACAAAAGGAAAACTGGCGCGGCTCTGATGACGGGTACTTGAGTGAGTGATCAGATCGCAGCAGGATAACCGAGCTAGCTCAGCTTGTTGCTCTGATAACTTAAGATCCAGACGTCCGTGACTAAAATCCTTCATCCGGTTAAATATCGTGAAAAAAATACCGATTGTATAGCATCAAAGTTCAAGAGAGGCCGGTTTACGGACAAAAGAAAATGTGTTTCATATCGCTATATATATATATCGCAGGGGAAGACAATATCGCAATGTCAGTTTTTTCCAATATCGTGCAGCCCTAATATACATGTCAATAGAATATGATATATACAAGAACATAATGTGAAATTAAATATTGTACATTAAGACGAATATATGGTGACAACTATTTATATAAATTAGTAGATTGCAAGATGACAAACAGATGAATGTTTAGGGGCGTGTCTTTACTGTAGTGAGCGAGGCGATGGGTTCATTGTCTTCACGGGACTTGAAGGTTTCTCTCACGGCAGGAAACACCGCCGCCTGAGAGGCTTCGGCTGAACTCTGCAGCGACGGCACGGGGGTGGCCGGGGGGACCTGCGTCGCCACGGGAACGGCCTCTACTTTCCTCTTCTGGAAAAACAATCAGTGTCAGGCATTTGTCTTCAAATAAGTACAAAGAAAACGAATGGAGAAAAAAAAGCTTCAGAAATGTTTTTCTCCAAACGAACTGTTTCCAGTCAAATCAGAGGCATGTTCAGGTTTTTTATGCCACTCAGAATTACATTTGAACTCAAATTTGCACACTTTGGCATTTGGTTACAAAAAGAAAATGTTACCAATATGTTTTGGGAAGAATGTTACCTAATTCCTAAAATATCAATTCCCAAGTACTTTTTTAAACATTTTAACACCAATTATGGTCTTATTTTACATATAATACATTACATTTATAAAGTGCCTTTCCTGGTCCTCAAAGAGCTTAAAATGTAATTAATAATTAAATTAAATTTAGATCATTAATTCTCTTTAAATACTTTTTAATAGGCTTATTTAAAGTGCATGTTATTTTAAGGCATATATTATGGGTCTGATATATAAAAATATATTTTAAAAAAAAAGTGTTTTGCTCAAAAAACAGATCACGCATTTTAGACATCCCTCATATCCCGTGGTGTAGTGGGCGTTGGACGCGGGGGTACGCACCCCCACTTATTTGAAGCATGATTTTTTTTTAAATGGTCTAATAAACATTAAATCATTGCCAGTGTGATCAGTTGCAATGGTGTATTTGTTGTAATAATGACGAAAACATAATAGGCAGATTTCACAGTAATTATAATAAAAACGTAGCTCAAGCATTTATGCAACTTGCAACTGTGTATGTAGGGTGACCAGGTGTCCCGCACTGTGCGGGACTGCACACACAGCATTTTTATTATTTGTNGGGCCATTTTGTCTTCATGCACCAATGAGCAACTCTCATAGTAATGAACGAGGCCCCGCCTCCAAGGCTGTATCCAGTTCTTATTATACATCCATGGAATAAGTTCCTGAGGGAGGATTGGGCAAATGAATTCCATGGATGTATAATAAGAACTGGATACAGCCTTGGAGGCGGGGCCTCGTTCATTACTATGAGAGTTGCTCATTGGTGCATGAAGACAAAATGGCCCAACTTTTGAGAGAGCGAAAAGTCATGAAAGTATTCATATTATCACGTAATCCATTCTTATTGTGCATCCATGGGTAAAGGCACTGAACACGTCACATGAACGTGCCGGGCGGCGCGGTCCCGTGGGTTAGATCCGCGTTCATAATGCAGAGGAAAATAACTCTCAGAATAACGTTATTAGCACATTTTACAACTTAGAGTAAGGACCGAATGTTTTTAATAAGGGCTATACAAATGTTCTTACTGGGTAGTTTATTTAGTTTAAAACGATTTACAGACGTCTCTTTCCCAATGTTAGTCAATTGGAAAAAGTTTTTCCGGGCCCAGCGACTGATACGGAAGTGTAGTACCACCGTTTGGCCACAACGAATATTTTCTCAGAGTCCGGCGCACTTCCTGGGGGCTTGACNCTTAACGGTATACCGATACCGTCCAATCAGGTACAATCTTGGTGCCCATCCCTAAAACCAATCAGAAGTGGCCAATGACAGTAGGTGATAGACAGATTGATCCAATCACCTGCCAAGTATTTTTGAAATACTTTTCCAAATGGCTTCCAATGGAGCTTTCCTTGATGGTTTAGTGAAACAAACCATCTGAGTCAGGTTAGTAAATGCTCCATCACATGTT